CAAATCTGATCATGGTGAATCGTCTTACCGGTGTTCATTTTGAAGATGGCAGTATGTGTTTGCTAGACTGTCAGAATAAATCCGAAAAATGTGCCGACGCTTGTTGTCCAGCAGGTGCCCGTGGCATAAACCAAAAAGAGGCTCTTAAGGCGAAGTTAAGGCCTACAAATGTTTATAGTTCCAAACCGATATAAGAACTAGTTCCTTTGGGAGCTTTGTAGATTTGGCCCCGAAAAGAAGGTGCATTGAGAATGAAGGATATAGGGCCTATGTATGCGCATGTGTTTATCGTTATTAGCCAGGTATCATGTTCTGTGCATGTCACTATTATCTCATGTGATCTGTGCTAGTGAGCCGAATGACAGGGTTGGCGGCGAGGAGGGGTTTGAAGGTGAACGAGAGGAGTGAAGCACCAGATGGAGTCTGAGTGAGTTAATTTCTCGCCTGCTCATTCATGCCGGCGTAGCGAAATTGTTCGCCTTTAGTGTCCTACAGGCAGTTTCAGAGGCTTATGAGACCGTGCAAATGACCACACTGCAAAGACAGTCGAGTATAGCATCGCTTTTGTATTGAAGGCTAAAGTCGAGCTGAGTTATCCTCGCGAGACGAAAGAGAGCCCGACAACTTGGGGGATAATAGGAGTCCGGATAAAACTGTCAGCGCTGCGAGTGATGATGAGGAGAGTAGTTCTGAAGAAGCGGAGATCTTCTAAAAAGGGAGGAGAGATGAACCAGATACGTAAGTAAGCCTAGGTAATGTCTTAAAATATGTACTTATAAACTTGTCTGTACGTAGGTGTAGGTACAGGTTGAGTGCGCGCATGTGTACTGTGTTGCCTGACGGTTCCTAGGGCTGGTTGACCTGTGAAGGAATTAGCAGATTGTCGGTGTGCCTGAGGTGACCTGTCCAAGTGGGGCCGGCACCTACAGTGCTGGGCAGACATAGGAGCATGCAAATGCGTGGGCTCTGGGTACCGTCGAGGCTGGGAGGGGAGGGAAAGACAGGACGGCACGAGATTGCCGGCAGCAGTGCTGGGTGCTTTGGTGAACGAGGCGGAGATCGAGCCTGGGCTCGAGGCTGTGGCGGCAATGACAATAGGACGAATTGGTGCGGACTGGCGAATGGAAAACGGGTTTGACGGTCAGACGCAGAGGTCGGCTGGGTAGGAAGTGAAGTGGTGGGCAGACAGAGTAACCGGGCGTGGATCCAGATTTGGCGCGAGGTGAATAAACGAGGCGGACAAAGAGATACAGGCCGTCTCGAGGTTGTGCTCATTGGGTTTGGAGAAAACCTGCTTGTTGGGCCGGGCAGGCCGAGGCCAAGTGGAAAGCACCGACCGACCGAAATGATCAGAATGAGGACGACAACATCATCACTGGTGCCCGGGCGACAACGACACAACTAGAGATATGATATAATTTATAGGGCATCGGATCGAAAGAGGAATATTAAAAGGTTGAAATAGCCACGAATAAAGTGCAGGCTTGTTGGAGAATGTGTCGAAAATAGAGTCCGCATCAAAAGCTAACAAATAGTTATATGCGAATTCTTTTAAGGATAGATAGATTAGGGAAGGGAGAGAAAAGATGATAGAGCACCTTGATAATAATAGTCACTTGGAGTGGAGGGTTTTAGGTGTAGGGACATGTTGTCTACGAGTGCTGAATTTAAACGATTCTGGTAAGTAACTGGAAGACATGTCTGACATCCTCGCGAATCATCAGAACGTATCACTATAAGAGAGTGTGTCTAGGTCCTTGCATGTACGCGCATGCTGTACATGCAGAGGGTGTATGGTAGGTTAGGATGGTGCACAGGAGAATAGGAGAACAGTAGAACCGGGATAGATAAGAACAGCGATTGCGAGGTTTTTGTGTGAGGAAAGGAGAAATAGTGAAAACAAGCCTACAGAGCAGTTTAGTCGGTGCATAAGATTGGATTATGCATGAATGTGCAGTTGCTGTCTTCGTTTCCGTCTCTTGAAAGTGCATCCTAAGACAAAAGTCGCAAATACTTATGGTATCAGGACGCTGGGACGCAAGCCTACCAAGCCTCCCTCCAGGCCGAATATCCTGGCCGTAAAACATTCTCCAAAGTTGAACAAGGCCGGACACGCAGTCTTGGCAGTTAATTCAATGCGAAGTGGTTGGGTAGTCACGCAATTGTAATGCCAATCTCCGCAGGAGTGCAACAATGTTCCCTCGGTTACTCCATACTTAAGCAAAGTGCAAGGTAGTGCCAGTTAAGACATCCTTTATTGGTCGGCGCTTAATCCATGTCAAGATTCCTGGGTTGTAATCTCCATAAATGTAGTTCAATTGTAGTTCAAGCTAAATTGAGCACTTTAAATATGTACCGAATATTCTCCAAGGAAACAGTGGTTACGAGAGCTTCTGAAAATTTTATTTTTTTGTAAATAAAATTTGAGTTTCGAGGTATCGTTTGGCCTGTAATTGTTGAGCTCACTTCCATTTCGAGTGAAAGGTCTGCTCTACCAGAAGACGGCGACAGATACCTCTTGATCAGCTGTGGATTGGCTTTACTGGAGCATTCTTGTTGTGGCTGTTTCCGAGGCAATCTCATTCGATTCTGGTAGAAATGTGTTATTCATTAATCCATCGTTTGACTGACTTCATCACAACAGGGTATCATCCTTACACAATTATTAAAGCTAAGT